TACATCCTATTCAAATGCTAGTATTCCGTGGGGCCGTAAGGTCATTTCCTAGTAGAGCCGATTCATTCGTTATACAGCTACAACAAGCAGCAACGTAGCTTTTCTTTTTATAGGATAAAGGTGACAAGCGAGCACACAGTCCACCTGAAGGTAAGTGGTTGCTGTGGCCCATAGACATCTACATCTATCCTCGTATGCGAATCAAAATGCAGATGCGTTGTCAGCCGTGAGTTCTAAGATGGAATGCCTCGTTTCCAGTAAAAAGGGTCTCCGGTTCTCTACATTCGACATACGAAACACAGCAGCATTAAGCCGCTATTTTACGCTGGTATTCTGTGAGAGCGTGGTCCTTCCCCGGTCGAGCCGACCCATTCGTGTTACTACTATACAATTAATGTAGCCGCAACATGGCTCTATCACTTTTAGCTATATTGTACAATGAAAAATAAATAATTAGAAATTTTCCAGTATAGTTATTCTATTTCACGATGAAGTTTTGTCTTTGGTTGTTGTTAGCCGTGCACATATACATTGTGTTAGTGTGCGTAAGTCTCGGGAGCGCTACTCCCGACGCCCGCAGCCTACGCACACTAACACAATGTGTATGTGCACGGCTAACAACAAGTAAAGACAAAACTTCATCGTGAAATAGAATAACTATACCAGTTAACTCTAAATGGATCCGTATATTTTAGTAATCTACTAACAAAGAAAGATTTAAGAGTGGGCTGGTTTTTTAGTAGAGAGTAATTTTTATTTAATATAAATTACGAGTATACCTATTAAAAAAAAAGTTTAATGACTTAATGGTGTCCGGTTCTCTTCACTCACCATACTAAACACAGTAGCATTTACTCTGGCATTCTGTGAGAGTGTAGTCATACCCCGGTCAAGCCGACTTATTGTTGCTGCAGCCACAATATAGATGCAACGTGTCTCTTCCAAGTATAAAATAATCCATTATGACAAATAATTATAGTTTACAAGTTGGTTACGTCCAGAAAGGAATTTAGATTAGCTTTCTTTATCACGTCACAGATTTTCTTGGCTGATTAAACATTTATGTGTTACCACATCAACGCTCCAGTAACCGCGGACGTACTCGAGTATTTCTTGCCTAGGGTTATTATCCTCTTTCCCTCTTATATGGTGTTTACTAACAATAAAGGCTAACTATCATAGGCTAATGTTACGTTAACGCGACAACCAAGTTTCACTTTGCACTATTAATATGTTTACTTTTACCAGCTATAATGACTTATTGCTCGTATTTTAGTTTATACCTTTTTTTTTGTATATTTCATATTAGTAACTACGTTTTGTGTTGTGAAAACTTTGCGACAAAATGCATTTTTGAGGAGACGTGTGGAGTTCATCATCAATTGTATGTAGTTAGCCGGTCTCGTACCTATTTGATTTCTAGAGGACTTAGGAAAAATCTTCGCCCTGCGGTGAAACATTTACAGGGCGTTAACTTATTTTACTTTTCATAATATTTAATTTTATCAAACGTCTTAAAAAAAATTAAAAGTTATTGGAATCATGTGTCTGACTTTTTCTCAAAGTTTATCTAGCGTAGATGATTGATATTCACCAGTTATTTTAAGTAGTAACCAAAATAGTTACGAACGTTGAATTTAATTTAGTTTTGGGGAATGAAATGAAATATTTTAAAATATTTTAAAAATATTTATTATTCGTTTTATAAATGCGTAAAATGATTTTTTTTCTTCAATGAATGCTTCAAAATTGCTGTCACTTGCTGTAGCTCCAAAGTAACTGAAAAGGCTTTAGCCGAGGAAAACATGAAAAAAAAAATCAAAATCGCAGAATATGTGAATTGATTGAAGCGAGCTATGGAGAGGGCAATGCTCGGGGTTCCTCTGCGTGATATACTTAAAAATAAGGATATCCATAGTAGAAACAGAGTAACTGACATAGCTTAACGGATTAGTAAGCTGAAGTGGCAATGGACCGGCCATATAGCTCGAAGAACCGACAACCGATGGGGAAGAAAAGTTCTCCAATGGCTCGGGACCATCTTTTGTACCATACCTTGGGGGAGGCCTATGTTCAGCAGTGGACTTGTGTTGGGCTTTGATGATAATGATGATCAGAATCGTGACACATATTTTTTCTATTTTTTAAATAACTTTTAGATAAAAACCAATTGTTTGTTTCACATGTAAAGAATGCTAAAAGGCACGGACCCGAATACTAATTTGCAAGGAGATATAGTATGTACTTGAATTACATTTTAATATTTGTTTTCTATAGTTTTTGGACTGTTAAATAATAATGACTTCGGTTTATTCCTTCAAAATCTTAACATAAGCATAAGAAAATTCCGATACTATGAATGTTTATTATAAGTTAAAAAAATCAGTACTTATTTTACTCTATGGTTTAATCTTTATTTACGTGGTAGAGCCATACTGCAGCTATATTAGTAGTATAGTTGTAGCACGAATGGGTCGGCTAGGCCGGGGAAGGATCATGTTCTCACAGAATACCAGCATAAAATAGCAGCTTAACACTGCTGTTTCGTATGGTAGGTGTAGTGAACTCTACACTCACCATACGAAAACCTAGAAGACCCATATTTACTGGAAAACGGAGATTCCATCTTAGTCCTCACAGGATACTTTATTGAGGATAGATGTGGATGTCTATGGGTCACTGCAACTACTTACCATCAGGTGAACTGTGTGCTCGTTTGTCACCCTATCCTATAAAAATATGCCTGATACTATGTTAGTTTAAAATCTAAATTAAAAAAATCAGTAGATATTCTACTTTAAAAATTCACAAAATCTACTAATTATATTTGACCAAATAGGGATATATACACCCTGAGAATTGTCTCAAAATCGATGAGAAAATATAGAGGAGTATTTTATAGGCAAGGAATTAATTTGGAAGTGTAGATGACATGATGTAAGAATTTTAAGTAAAAGAAAAAATAAAAACAAAAATAATAGTCTATATATCTGTCTAAATGTATATTTTACCTATTTCCATCGCAAAATAATACAGCCCAGAACCTACTGTAGTAATTCAATTTAAAAGATAAAATGTCCGTATAATTATGACTTAGTCTTTAGAACTTAATATATCCTTATTTTGGAGCTGGTTGCAGGTATAGTTCAGGTAACCTTTTTTTATCTCGTGGACTGAAAGTTCTTTTGTCACCTAACTGTATATTCTCATATTAGGTTTTACCAAGATTTGTGTTAGTTATACATAAATAACAGATATGTAAGCAAAATATATATAATAAAAGTAAAGTTAACATTTAATCGGAATGTGAAACACGTAATATGTACCTTACCGTGTAGCGGCGGTGTAAAAATATCCACTACCTCATCATCCTGTGACTTTCATAAGAGTGACACAGAGAAACAAATCAGAAGATGGGCGGTAGCGTCTACCTAATAACGACTAAAGATAAAAAAGTGCCAGGGAGATGAATATTATTCCATCGCGCTTCCTAATAGCCGCCAAGGCCGTCTACACTACGTCAGAAGCGTCGTGACGGAAAAATCTTACACTTTTTCTCGCCTAGCCCCCATCCGCCAAATTCATAACGTGCGACAAAGAACTTCGCTCCAAAAACTGTGGTGCTATGGCAAATATCCTCCTTATGATATATAAGTTCTGCAGTCTATGCTGTAAAAAAGATTAGAGGTCTCACTAGTGTCGAGACAGCTAGATTAGTTTATTTTAGTTATTTTCATAGCATAATGTCTTATGGGATTTTGCTATGGGGAAATGCGGCTGATTCAGAAACTATTTTTGTTTTACAGAAGAGGGCCATTAGAGCTATTTACAATCTAGAACCGAGAGAGTCTCTTAGAGATAAATTTAAAGAAATTAATATATTAACTTTGGCCTCTCAGTATATTTACGAAAATTTAAAGTATGTTCACAAAAACAAAGATAGTTTTAGTAAAAGAAGCGATATACATTCTGTAAACACTAGGAACAAACACAAGCTAGTGATACCAGTTTCTCGACTCCACAGAGTCAGTAATTCATTCTTGGGGCAATGTATACGCTATTACAACAGGGTCCCGGAAAGTGTACAGGTTCTCTCTATTACCAAGTTTAAATGTTTTATTAAGCTGAAACTGTATAAAAAGGGTTATTATAGTATAAATGAATACATGGTTGATAATAACCCCTGGGAATGAGGTGATCGCTTCCAAGCAGTTTCTAAAATAAATTTTGTAAATAGTTCGTAATCATTTATATTGTAAAATTTATTTAAAAAAAAAAGTCCCGCTGGGTTTCTTGCTGGTTCTTCCCAGGACAGAGGGTTTTTTTCGAACCAGTGGTAAAGTAAAAAATGACTTTCAATAAGAATTACACATGTAATGTATATTGAATAAAAAAATATTCTATTCTATTCTATTCTATTCTATGAGGCAATCTATGTGGTAGGCCTATGTTTAGCAGTGGCTTTTATTAGGCTGTAACGGTAACGGTAATATGTAGATACCATAGACCAGTGTTGCCAAGTCTGAAATCTAGCGGACGGTAGAATTCTTCTAAAAATACGGTAGAATTTTCGAAATTATGTTGTAATATATATTTGAAATACGGTAGAATTACCTTGTTTATTTAGTAGCATGTTATGGGTCAGAGTTAAAAAAAAAAACATATTTTTAATCAGAATCGGACAGTATAATTGTTTCAATATTTTTATACATATCATTGTTATGTTTTGCGATCATAGCGTGAGTGGGATTAAAATCAACACAGTTTTTTCCGTGACGCTGTATGGCTTGCTGCGATAAGAGATTTCCCTTGATGGATTTCGTTAGGAGTTTATTCCGTTTTTTTGTTTTTATATCGTTAACTCTGCTGAAGACTCTTTCGCACTCAGCATTCGAGTGTGGCAGAGACAAAATGGCCAACATAAATTTTGGCAAGTGTTGGAAATAGGTATTCCCTTCTCGATGTTGGTCACGCAGTTCTGCGACCTGAAAAAAAAATGATTAGGCTGCTATAACAATAGAAACCAATATGAATTCACGTTGCTTCGAGTTTACATGGAAACTTACCTGGTGCCAAAATACGTCAGGGGGTTGACTTAAATCCAAATCTTTGTAGTATAACGGCAACTTCCGCCACTCATCATCTAGTTCTTGTTGATGTTGGATTGAAGTTGGGGCAATTCTGGGCAGTAATGGAAATAACGACGAAACTGACTCTTCCCTGTCATCAGAAATTACTTTCTCTAGATCAAATTTTGCTATTTCTGTCATAATTTTTTCATTAAAACAGTATCGTTTACGAAGGCCCACACAAGCTCTAATAATAAAATTTTTACACATCTTTCTGAGAGTTAACTTTCTTTCTTCATTTTCAACAGAATCTAGTTCTTTCTGGACACCTAAACCTAGATATATGTCTTTTAGGTCCTTGTGATTTATTTCTGTCATTGGATCTATAGTTTCAATAGGAGCGGAATTTACATAATTTCTGTGTAAAACCAATAGTAACAGTTCTTTATAAAAAGCTGTCATTTTCCCATGTAGTTTCGTAATTAAAATAGATTCGCTCTGAAAACAGCTATTTAATGTTGTAAATTTTGGCAACATCCAAGCCAAAAAATAGTAATAAGCCTTGATTATGGGATCATTCAGGCATGCATGAATATCGTGGCACTCCGATTCTTCCAGCCATTTGCTATTGAAATAAAGACGTAATACATCCCATTGTTCCAGAATCCTTTGCACTACTGCATTTAAAGACAACCATCTAGTCTGGGCTGGTCTTAGAATTTTGTGCACATCCGCCTCAGCAAAATACTGGAACTCTTTCAACTCACTCTGCCTTTTACTACTGGATTTAAAATAATTATAAATATTTCGCGCCATTTTTTCACAATTTAGTGGAAGCTCTTTACATGCGTCACTAGCGCAAAGATGCAGAGAATGGCAAATGCATTTGATCACAATTATGCCTGGACAACGTTGACGAAATCGACTTGAAACTGAATTGTTACATCCCATCATTGTGTTGCATCCATCAGAGCCGAAACCTATGATGTTTTCCGTAGGAATCTCATACTTTTGAAATGAACCTATAACAGTATTAAAAAGTTTTTCGGCATTTGCAACATGATCGGTGGTTTTCTCATCAAATAATTGAATCAAATTCCAAAACCGAGTGATAACTTTACCAATCATTGGATCAAAATACCTGACCACTACAGCTACTGTTTTTACTACAGCAATATCTGTGCTTTCGTCTATCAAAATTGAAAACATTTGTGATTTCAAGTCACTGATCAAGTTTTCTTTTTCAGTTTCCCCAATACAGTTATTTATCACAGCTTGAACTTTAGTTCTTTTTAATCTAATATCTTTGGCTATCTGAGAATCTGGGAACAACTTTGGTAACAAATCTGCTAAGTGATTCATGACATTATGAGATACCTTATGCTCAGCAACAAAAGCAGCTCATTTTATTTCTGAAGTCTTTACCAATTGCTTTTCATTAGTTGGCATGGATTTAAAAACGCTTACTATAGACTGTTGTTTTTTGGACGTTGAAGCACTACACCTCTTTAAATTATTCACGTGTTTAGTTCCTTCTTTGTGGCGTTTTATTACACTTATTTCGGCACTGAAAGATGTATTGCAAACATTGCAGACCGCCTTCGATAAGTCCCTATTATCCTTTCTTAGCCAGTCACTATATTCTTTATTCAGCAACCATTCTTCCCGAAACTTCTGCTTATAACGCTTTCTCTTAGCCGGTACTCGTGTTAAGCTATCTTCTCGATCAGTAGCGCTGTCGCCATCACTCTCCATATTTTTAAACACTCAGATCACACACAACACAACACAACACAACAAACTCTTACGTAATTTTAAGTATTAATGAAATGTTAGTCGTATCTCGTTTATGATACAAATAAACTAGGAAAATTAAAAAGCTCTAAGTATTCATTGAAATTCAAATACATACAGCACCCCCGAATTCGTTCGCATAATATCTCCAAGCTGGTACCACGCTATTGGGGGATTTCCCGACGCATAAAACAGTGTTGTCGGTAGAATAAAAGGAAAATACTGTAACGTAAAGAAAGTAAACAATCACACTCGCTAAAATTATTTTAGTTTATAGATAATCATATTTAGATACGATCTTCATTGGGTATTACGGTGTATTTTGCTACCGTAATTATAATCCTACGGTAGGTGGTAGATCTATGCTGATTACGGTGTTTTTACCGTAATTACGGTGCAGTTGGCAACACTGCCATAGACCGGTAAAGTTAAGAATTGTGTAAGACACCATAATATTATGATTCAATATGAAAGAAACCAAAAACAATCCTTAAAATTTTACTTAAAAGTGGATAATTCGCACACAAAGAAAATTCACGTAACTTCATAAATATTCGTCATTGCACATTGTTGCATCCAATTAAGTAAACTATTAGTGCTTAGAAGTTACCATTTGTCGAAATTATGTTAACGTACGGCTGAGACATGTGATGCATAGTAATCAGTCAAATTGTTAGATGACCGACTTATCATATTAGTGTGAAAATTGCTAAATTACTTAAGTGAAGTAAATTTACAGCTTTTATACGTTCCGCGGCTAGACCTTCTTTGAATTCTGATGGGGTAATGAGCTATTACTAAATGGAAGGTTGATGAAGGTCCTACCTACGAGTCCGTCTGTCCCTCATCATTTAAAGTACGCGAGCAACTCTTATTCCATCCCCGGCCGCACAAATGAAAATGTTAATTACAATTTTAAGTCCTAATTTACGTGCTCGACGAAACATTGTGGTAAAAAGAAAACATTGTGGTAAAGCCATGCTGCATAGCACGAATGGGTCGGCTCGACCAGGGAAAGACCACGCCCTCACAGAATACCTGCGTATAATAACAGCTTAATGATGCTGTGTTTCGTATGGTGAGTGAAGAGAAACGAAGATCCTTTTTACTGGAAACGAGGCATTCCATCTTAGCCCTCAGGGGTTACAACGCATCTGCATTTTGATTCTTAATCGAAGATAAATGTAGATGTCCATGGGCCACAGCATCCACTTACTATCAGGTGGATTGTGTGCTCGTTTGTCACAACAAAAATGTGGCTACTGTAGTCATGGATACGTGCAACCCACTCCAAACAAAGAAGGCTACCGATGCGTTGTCGCCTCTGTGTATTAAGATGGAATGTCTCACAGTCTGTAGTTATAATGGCTCTCTTTAACCTTCAGTCCGGAACACAGTGTAGGCTTCGTGTAGGAATAGGTGAGAGGGTAGTACTAAGGAACAAGCAGGACTTATTTTGGTAGGTAGTACAATCGGACGGACTTGCTTGACTCCAGCTTGTTTTGTCATTTTCATGACTTATATAACAATGATGAGTATCGGATACACATTCACCGATTGATCGATGATTCGTAGCACAACCTGTTAAGCCACGCTGTGTCGCGGGGCGTCATATAGCGTCATAAGTGTTGCCAACCCTTTTTATATAATATAGTAGCCTTCTATATTAGGCGTTCAACTACTTTAAACTACTATAACTAAAAATGTAAGCAGTAGGCGAAACTACTATATTATAAAGCAGCAAAAACATTTCATTAAAAACAGAGATATAATGTAGTACATTAGTACATTACATCTCAATGGTTAAAAACCAAAATATTGATTTAAAACATCATTAACATCGTCATTATTACAGTGCTACAGCTGAACATAGTTCTCCTCTAAAGAATGCCGAATATCTAAATAACGCTCTCCTTAACCACTTGCATACATCGATGTTCTGCATGTCTTACCAGGTCACCACTTCATCTATTGAAATATACTATCTCTTTTCGACGTGGTAGAACCATGCTGCAGCTAAGTTATGGTTGCAGGACAAATGGGTCGGTTCGACCTATGAACTGAACGGGTTCCTGCTTTGACATGATGGGGGGCTTAGTAGCCGTGGCTCAGTCACCCGCGGTGAACTAAGAGGAACTCACATGGCTGGCCCGAGGTGTAGGGCCGGCCCAGGTGGCCACTTCGAGTGGGCTTATCTTGCCCACTCCAGATGCGCTTTAATCGAGAGAGTGTTGTTATGACGATGCAGCGCTTGCCCTATCCTCTGCGAATCTGGTGGAGCTGCACCGTTGATGCGGTGGTGGTGGAGCCACGGGGAGGAGGATAGTCGGTATTGCTAGGCGCCGCTTTCCCTACCTCCCGCGGCCGTAAGTTGGATGGTGGCGGAGCCACAGATCGGATCTGCAACGCTACGTAACTTGCAGCTGTGCAACGCCGACACTTCAACTGATTTCACCAGAAGCAGGGACTATTCGCGGACAAGCAGCTTGGAGTATAGCACCCCAACGACGCTTAAGTTTGGCAACTTTTTTTATTTTAAATATAGTATTTTCGAGGCGATTACTTGTAAAAATGTTATAATATTATATTTTCGATAATATTATATATAATATTATCGAAAAAGCGGTGATAGATTACCACACATTTCCCCTGATGGTAAGTAGATCAGTAGAGTGCTGTGACTAGGCTTGCCAACTCCAAAAAAGGCATTTCCGGGATTACCCAGGTCGACATCCGGGACTTGGGTATATTACGCGGGACACAACACACTACAAAAAAATTGGTTAGAAACAAAAAACACATTGATTATAAAATTCACTGCATTTTTGATCAAAATTAATGTTAATTTGTAGTTCAGCTTTGATGTAGTCAACAAACAGCTTATTTCTGCTCTCTGTCCACGCATTTCCACAGAGAGAAAACACTCTCTCTGCTGATGCATTTGAAAACGGTATCGAAGCTACGGCTAAGGTGTAGTTGGTGCGAGATAGATACTAATATCATATAATCACTGATTTCCGGGACAAAAGGCGTCCCGCAAGGGGTTACGGCGGGACGGTCCAAAATTGACCCAGAAGCGGGACGTCCCGGAAAATCCGGACGGTTGGCAAGCCTAGCTGTGACCCAATGGACATTTACATATATCCTTAATAAAGAAACAAAACGCAGATGCATTATAACCTCTGAGGACTAAGATGGATTTCCTCGAATAGGGGTTTGCGGTTCTCTACACTCACCATAGGAAACACAGCAGTGTTAAGCTGCTATTTTACGCTGGTATTCTGTGAGAATGTAGATTTTCGCCGGTCGAGCCGACCCATTCGGGCTACAACTATACTACTAATATAGCTGCAGCATGGCTCTACCACGTAATAAATTGTTGTACAATATAATTTAATGCTTTGCAGGATACCGATATATGGAGTTCATTATATTTGTTATGCCTAATAATAACGCTCATAAATAACTTTAATTTTCAATATTTTTTTCACAAAATACCGCATTGTGGCTTATGTATAAGAAATATGCATATGGTATCGCGGACTTTTTTTTAGATGGAGGAAAGTTCTATATATTTCTAGAACATTGTATTTACGTATCACTAACTATAACGCCAGCGCACGAGTTCAGGAGCGCTTTTTCTTCTGAATTGGCTAACAAAAATTGATACTTAAAACTAGCTGAGAGGTGTAGCCTAATGCTAAATAGTATTTACTATTTCTCATGAATTAGGCTATAATATACAAACAAAATCAGTACGGATAGGTAGTTTTAGAGATTAGCGTGTTTAAACAAACAAAAAAAAAACAAACGAAAAATTCTTTCGCTTTATTATATTAATAAGTATAACTGAGTAGGCACCCTTATTACAGCTAGGTGGTAGCACTCTTTTTCTGGCTAGGTCCGTCTGGGTGGGAACCGCCCTCTTACCTGACGCCAAGCTGCAGATCGTGTAATCCAATGTTCCGGTCAAAAGGGTGAGAGCGCACAAGCTGTAAGGCATCCATCTTAGTCCCTTAACTGACAACGCATCTATAGAGTTCTTAAGAGTCCTTGGTCTGCAGTATTCATTCACTTATACCATCAGGTGAACGGTAAGTTCAATTCTCACATCAATTTTCTAAAAAAAATAATATATTTTTAACAGCTTGTATATTGTCAACATAGGTCTTCTCTAAGTTAGAATTAATTGTTGTAAGAGCATTAATCGTCTGGTAGATTTATTTTTATAGGATAGGGTGACAAACGAGCACACAGTACACCTGATGGTAAGTTGTTGCTGTGGCTCTTAGACATCTACATCTATCCTCGTTTGTGAATCAAAATGTAGATGCGTTGTCACCCGTGAGGACTAAGATGGAATGCCTCTTTTCCAGTAAAAAGGGTCTCCGGTTCTCTACACTCACCATACGAAACACAGCAGTGTCAAGCTGCTATTTTACGCTGGTATTCTGTGAGAGCGTGGTCCTTCCGCGGTCGAGCCGACCCATTCGTGTTACAACTATACTACTAATATAGATAAAGCGGAAGGACGAACGCGACGCTTTCTACCTTGAATTATTCATCAT